CCCCGGCCCCGCCCGGTGCTCAGCAGCTGGCCGCCGCCTGGCCGCCTCTGGTCTCCCGCGGCCGCCCCGCCCTGGGAGCCCGGGAGCGGGGTCTTAGCCTTCCCGCTCCAAGGGTCCAAACTTGGAGTTCTCCCAGGCTCCGGGATCGGGACGGGGTCAGGAGTAGCCGGCTAAAAATAAGACAAAACGAGCAGCGGGCGTGGCGGCGCACGCCCGCGGCAAGAGGACGCAGACTTCCAGGCCAGCCTAGGCTACAGGGCGAATTCAGGACCTGCCTAAACTGCACAGCAAGACGGTGTCTCAAAAAATAGGAGGAGCCGGGCTTGGTGGCACACGCCTGTAGGCCCAGGACTGTGGAGGCTGAGGCAGGAGGATCGCTGTGAGTTCGAGCCCGGCTTGGGCTACATAGCGAGTTTGAAACCAGCCTGAACCACCTAAGGAGACCTTGTCTTAAGACAAAACAAAACAAATTGCAAACTCCAGTCACGCTTTTCTTAAACCCAGAGCTCCTAGCACCAGCCCCACTCACTCTTGAGCACCTCTGCTCCAGCCCCTGCAGCCCAGATTTAGTAGCTATTCCTTCTCAACCTCAGACCCCGGGGTCCACGCCCAGCCTCCTCACTCAGACCCCGAGTCTGGAGCCAACCCCCACTTTGGGACGCGTGACCTGTTTGAGTCCAGGTCCCAGCCATCTCCTCTCCAGAACCCAGGCATCCTGGCCCAGCCTGTCTTCCTGGGGACCCTACATTCAGCCTCGCAGTCCCATCCTCCGCTGAGCCCTAGGATCCTGAGCCACCGCCCCGGGGCGTTGGGGTCCCCCAGCCTCACCTCTCCAGCCAGCGGCAGCTACGACTAAAGCAAAGGCGACAGCTGCGGACCGCAAGGGTCTGCGCCTGGGTGGGGTTGGTCGGGTGGGGTGTCGGCTAGAGCGCGCGTGGGCGGGGCGTGGGCAGGGCGTGGCCAGGCCTGGACTGGGGCTGTGGACTGGGACACCCCCCCGCGGTCCCCAGTCCTTGCGGGGGTGGGGCCACGGCAGACCACGCCCCTCCGGGAGACGTGAGGCTCGGAGTCCCCCAGCCGGGAGGGAGGAGGTGGAGAGCTGAGGTCACCGTTGCCGTGGTGACAAAACAGTAAGACACAACAGCCGGAGGAGGGGGGCTCAGGGGGATGCCCTCCCCGACACTGCACCTAAAAAAGTCTCCGGCTGGGCTGGGCAGGCCGTTGTCATGACAACGCGCGTGTTGATGGACTCCAGGACGCAGCCCCCCGGCTCGGGGCCACCCCAGTTGCGCTCGAGGTTCTCCTTCGCTTCCTGCCCCCGCCCGCCTAATCTGCCCGGGTCCTCGGCTCTGCCAAGATGACGACATCCAGGCACCTGGCCGCCGCGGGCGGGGGCCCAGAGACCCCAGTGTAGTAGGGCGCGTGGGCCAGGACCTCAGTCTCCCTGGAACGGCCAGAGCTGGGGTGCCGATCCCGGGCTTCACCTGAGAGGTTCCGAGCCAGCATTCCAGGCTCCTGGTCCCCAGAACCAGGCCAGATTCCTGCGTGACGGCTGGGGGATGGGCCGTCCCCTCCACCCCGGGATCGCGGGGTGCGGTCTGGCGTCCGGCCCTGGGCCTCGGATCGCGCTGTCCCCGGGGAGGGGGGCGGATCCCAGGGGCCCAGGGCGCTGGAGTTGGGGTCCCGGCTTCCACGCGATGCGCACGCTGGCCCGGGTTACAGACCCACGGGCCCGGACTCGGGTTTGGGGCGGGGCGGGGG